TTTAGTAGTTCACCTGCAGCATGTCAAGCATTAGGGTAATTAAGAAGCAAATTAAGAACGATAAATAATGATAATCGGGATGATCATCATCAAGTGGTTGTTGCTTTGGGGGTCAACGACTTCAACGTCACTGATGATCCTAAGATCGCTGCCGGCTTAGCCTCCACACGAAATGTATCAAACCGGAGGAAGAACTCTACCAACAATACCCTGGACAGCAGCAACACCAGATCCTTCGCGGGACACTGCTTATTTACTGGCGTTGGGTTTTCCGTTTCCCTCCCATTTGACCAGTAAACGTACTTCAACAGCTTCTTTCCTTCCCCGACAAACCTATTAGGGACAAATTCCTCAGGGTTCTCAAAAACCCTAGGATCTTTTGTGGCGAATGGTTGATATCCGAAGATCAACTCCCCTTTCTTGATCTCAAATGCTGCATCATGGCTCCGGATTACCATGTCCTCCTTTGCCCTAGCGTACTGATACGGTACTGATGGCTCTATCCTTAGCGTTTCATACACCACTGATTTTGTCAAGGGCATTTTCTCCAAGGACGAGAACGTGACTCCACCTTCAGCGTTAACAACAGTCCTAATTTCATCAACCAACTGCTGGTGTAACTTTTCTCCGGCCAACCCTACCCACTTGATCAACGATGGAAATAGAACTTTCAAGCCAGCGTAAGTATTAAAACCGACAAGAAAAAGTAGGTTATGGCAAGCTTCATCTCGTTTAATTCCGAAACTTGCAGCTTCATCTAGAATGGAAACTGCAGAGTTGTAAAATGAATCATAGAGTTTGTTGTAATCAGATTTAACCAAAAGGAATGGAAATGGAAATACATGGAGGAGAAGATCGTCAAGAAAGTTTAGAAACTTAGGAAGTATCCCAAGGGTTCCAAGTGGTGCGAGTTGAAGAAACAGCCATTTGTCGAAAAGCTTTGCCCCATCGGATCCTAGATTTGTCTCTCTCGGGTCCTTATCGCAGAAAAGGCGAAAAATGAAGTTGTAGACCATTTTGTCGTTAAGGGAATTGAAATCTACTTGTTTTTGGATTTGGATTTGAGCTTGGAGCTTGGAGAAGAACTCATCCAAACAGTCTTGAAAGAGTGGGATGAACTTGTTATGGCGAGTGGCAATTATGGACAGAAAGAATGATTTCAGAGAGGTGTGCTTTGGTTCAGAAGGGTCAAGGTAGGAGCAGATACGGTAGCCGCCGGTGAAGGACCAGGAAGGCCTGAAAGTGCCAAGAAGAACGTTGTGTTTTTTGACTTTTGACAAGTCGAAGAGGATGGGGAATGAGACAGCGTCGAGGAGACAGACAACTCTAGGATCAGAAGCAATGAAAGGGCCAGGAGCCATATTGGTTCTGAAGACCGTGGACTGGTATTTCCTGCTTCTGTCGTCAAAGAACTTGTCCTTTCCTTCGTTATAGAAAAAATCCCAACGGTCTCTGATTGCTCCGAAGAACGGGAGGCCATAGCTGCCAGGAATTTGTTTGAGAGGAAGATTTGAGGGCTCTGAAGAAGAAGACTCTGAATGCATTGTTGATGAGTTTGAAGTGGAATGTAGGACAATTGAATCGATAAGCATGGGTAATGTATATATAGGGACTAGTAAATTATAAAATTTGAGAAATGATTGGTACAAGTTTCTA